AGGCCCCCGCCGTCGCGTAGGTTTGTGGCTGTTGCCACCTAGACCTTGCCCCGAGCTGCTTTACCCTGCAAACATCTCCTCCGGCGCCCGCACACCCGTGGAAAGCTGGACTGGGTGAGGTGAAAAGTTACCTGGAAACATGTTTAATTGTATTGGTTTCTGGGTTCAGCTGAGCCAACACAACAAACAAGGCATCTGTGGTGCCAAGACGACCTTTCTAGCATGCTCAGCCCTCATTCTGCTCCCTTCCCCTGCTGTGGCATAGGCCGGTTTTCCATCGTTCAACCCTTCTTTCTTCCTGGGCTGATATTTTCCTGCTCTCCCCAGCGCCTTCCTAATGTCCCTGCTGTGCAGAAGAGCTCGGTGAAGGTGAGTGCGTCACCTCCTCTGCGCCCTCCCAGGGAGACGGAGAGCAGGAGAGGTGGCCTGGAAGGAGAGAGACGGTCGCACTCGCATCCTTGTCCAGTGCTTCCCCTCAGTCCCTCCGACCAGTCCGGGGCTGCAGACGCAATCGGGACGCGGTATCTGGGAAGCAGGAGCAGCAGCAGCACTCGTCTTCCAGCACTCCGGTTCGCCCGTGCTGGTGGGTTTGTGCAGGCGGCCGCTTGGTGCGCGTGTCCCTTGTCCCTTCCGGCAAGTCGTGTCGCGCAGGTGGCCTTTGCCTGCCACCCGACTCTGACCGGAGCGTCTGCTTTGTGTGAAGGACTCGCCAAGCAAGGGAGTTGTGCAAGGAAAGGTGTTTGCAAACGTGTCAGCCTTTACTGCTTTAAAACAGTGTTCACCACTGGCAAAGTGGAGCGAGGAAGTTCACCACATTTGGATTTATCATACCAAATGATTTTATTCTAGTACCTGGTCAGGCTAATTTTAGGCCACTTTCAGACATGTTTCTGCTTTAAGCTACATTTTCCTTAAGCCTTTGCTTGTGTTTTCCTCTTTTTTTAAAAAAATAAATTAAGCAGCATAGTGGCAGGGAGCAGATCTGTGGGAAGGAAGGGGTTAGTGTCATCCAAGAATGCTTCAAGCTGCCTCTAAAAGGCATTTGGAAATTTTCTTTGCACTTTAAACTTCTTCGAAGCGCTGTAGTTGTGTACTCGTAGCCCTCACAAGAGCAGCCTCTGTGTCCAAGGGAGGAGGAACTTGGAAAGCTTGTAAATGCCTCAAAGCTTTGGTGTTTGCGCCCTGGCCACGTGCGCCGCTCGATTCCTTCCTGCAGGCCTGGGTGCAGAGCGTGTGGAGCAGGTACGAGTGTCCGTGGGTACTTCTGAGAGGAGCTGTTCTGGGGAGAGTGGAAGCTCATTTTCTAGCACATTGCTCTCTGCAGCCTGGAGTTGGCCTTGACCTGCAGTAACTGAACTGGGAGAATGTGTAAATGTCCCGTTTCTGCGCCCATGCAGCTGGCTGTGCCAACACAGGCCCCTTCTTTGCAGAAATGTCTTTATTTAGTTCCTTGCTCATGCTGCAGGGGGTTTTAGCCTTTATTTGAAGGAGGAAGCCCTGGTTGGTTTAGAGTATGAGTGTCTCGTGGCATTGGAGGAAACGCTGCGCTCTACCAGGACGCTTTATTTACCGCATTTTCCTGAAGTTGCAGAGCCGAGTGGGGCCGGGGGAGCTCAGGCCCTTTGAGCAGGGGGAATCTTCCTGCGCTGTCCCTAGTGCTTCAGCTGCAGTGAAAGAGGGGCTGGAGGCAGGTGTTTGTGACTTGGTCATTCCCCTGCTGCTGCCACGCGGGCACTGGAGCTGGGTCGAGTTCAGCAGTTCCTGGGAGCTGCTGCTCCGTCCCGGCTTGCCCAGCCCTGCCGTGGCCGCAGCTGGCATCTCTCCTGCTCCCAGGAGTTTTCCCTGCGCCAGGGCCGAGCCCGGCCTCCCTGTAGCAGGACGAGCGCCGGCTGTACCCGTGTACCCACGGCAGCAGCGCTGGAGTTCCCTGTGCCCTGATCCTCGTGCATCCCTTAGGGTGGGAATTGCACCGGCTGGGCTTCGGCGCAGACTGCTTGACTCCGTGCTGGCAGCATCCTGGGGCTCTGCTGCCGCTCGGGACGGGCCCTGGGAGCGGGATGTGGGCGCTGCTCCTGGCAGAGAGCATGTCCCTGCCTTCGGCCTGGTCTCCAGAGCGGTACCGGCCCCCGCGGTACCGGCCCTGCTCAGCTGGAGCCTCCTTGGCGTGTCAGGTGCACCTTAATTTTGTTCGCCCTGAGCCCCTTTGTGCTTTTAGCAGCCCCCAGAGAACTGATGCTCCAGGCCTGGGAGGACTTGGAGATATCCCGCAGCGTCAGTTCTAAGGACAGCTGAAGTTTGACCCTGGGAGGACTTATTTTCTAGTGCCTTATGTTTGTGAATGTCGTGCAGTTGATGCAGCCAAGATGGGACAGAGCAAGGAACAACTTCAGCAGCCCTGATTCCCCATCCGCCACAAATGCCTCGCTGTCCCCTCTCGGGCCATCACCAGCAGCTGGCTCTGGCGCTCCTTAATCCATTGGCACTTTGGGATGGACGTGCACAGTGCTGCAGGGTGCTGCCAGCAGCTGTGGGGAGCAGGAGCTCTCGTTCTGCTGGGTTTGAGGCCAAAGGGAGAGCCCGAAGCTGCGTTGGTTGTGGGGGGGACATGGACAATCGTTCCCAGGCGCATACGGAGGGGTAAAGTGCTGCTGTCCCTGGAGGTCATGCCAGGATGTTTGCTGTGTTTATATCATGCTTTGTTTCATTTAATATGTTTGGTTGGCTTCGATGTTGCTAGGTTTGTATATTAATAAAGAGGCATTTTAACTACTCTGGCTGCGGGAGCTTGAGGGGTGGCGCGTTTCCTCAGAGCCGGGCCTGTGTGCCAGGATCCAGGCACTGGACTTCGTCCACGCCGCAATGGGAGCCACGGTGAGTCACGGTGCCCGGGCTGGAAGGGCGGCTGGAGACCCTCCAGTCCCACCTCCCGCTGGAGCAGGGTCAGCCGGAGCAGGGCGCTGTGACCGTCAGCTCCGGAGCATCTCCAGGGACGGAGACTCCCATTTCCTCAGGGACGGAGACTCCCATTTCCTCAGGCAACCTGCTACCGGAGCGCAGCTGCAGCGGGGGGCAGCCCGGGAGGGGACGCAGGCCACCGCGACACCCTCGCCACAAGCCACCTTTGCCCCTGCCCTGCAGATGCCTCCCCCCTTCCCCAGGAAGCGCCGTGCCGGTGCCAGAGCCAAGAGCGCGGCTGGGCTCCGCGCTACCCCCGACGAAAGCACGGTGCAGAGCGCTGATGGCGTGGTTTTTATTGACTTAAAAAAACAACATTGTTTTAAAACAGTTGTTTGCAGAAGTGCCCACGTAGGCAGAGGCCGTGGGAGAAGCCACCCGGCCCCAGCCCTTGGCACGATCCGGGGGCGCTCGGCGGGCGCCCCCTGCCCCCCCCCCCCGGCC